GTAGAATATTTGGTAGAATATTCTAGATAGGCTTAGAGGTAGCACAGCGAACTAAGGATCTTTAATATATTCTTTTTGCATTTTGCCAAATCAAACGCACTTGCCTTAACATCGGGTTATGGACCCAAACTCCGCGTTCTCTCCCCCCGATTCTGAATACGCCTTCGCCATGGGCGCTGTCACCACCAGTACCCCCTCGCATCAACAAGCAAGACTGAACGAACTTCCATAGTTCAAGATGCAAATGGTGCTGGAGGAGCGAGACCTGTGGGATGTCACAAGTAGGGAGATCAAGTAGGAGAGTCTGACGACTTCGCCGGACCAGTCGACATACAAGCGCAAGTAAAGGAAAGCGCTTGCAGACATCTGTTTGGCGCTGGAAGACTCGAAACTGCCTCTAATGCGGTCGGCAAGTGGAGCGTATGATGCATGGTCGCGCTTTGACAGTCACTATGAGAAAAAGAGCCATGCAAATAAGCTTTATCTTCGTCGTCGTTTCTTCACAGCTAAGATAGATGAAGGTGTTGATGTGCGTGAGCACATCAACAAGATGAAGACTTTGCCGGGGCAGCTAGATGTGGTGGGGCGCTCCGGTCACTGAGGATGACTAGGTTATCACGCTTCTTTGAAGTTTGAGTAACTCGTTTGCGTTTCTCATTACGGCGTTGGAGTTAAGATCGGACTCGCTATCGTGGGAGTTGTGAAATCGAGTCTTCTACATGAAGACATGAAACGAAAAGAACAATGAATTCGCATGAATAGTACTTCGCAAGGTCAAGGCCAAGCGTTCGCGACGACAGACGGCGGACGGCGTAAGGGACGTCCTTCGCATACAAAAACATCCAGTGCAAGTCAGTATTGAGGAGAACACGGACATTGAAATGCTAAGTGTCCAGCACGAATCCGTGAGAACACGGAGCGTCAAAGATCGCAGCGTGCGAATGTTGCTCAGAGTGAGAGCCACTCGGGGGATTATTTCTTTTCGGTTGGTGGAAATGAATGCGCTACTAAATCAGGCTGCATATGGCTGATCGACTCGTGTGCGACGCAGCATATGATGTACTCGAAAGCGTACATGAAGAACTATAACGTTATGTCTCCGGTTAACGTTCACCTTGCGGACGACGGCATTGTTTCAAGCAGTGGGCACAAGAGACATCGTGATGACAATGACAACGTCAAAGGGACAGAAAACGGTATTCTGACTTCGGTATGGCATATTTCGAAGCTATCTCGCAATCTGTTCTCCGTTGGACGATTCTTAAAGGATGTTGGGTCCGTCACTTTTGAGCGCGATACTTGCTTTACGGAAGCGAAAGGATTACGCTTTGTAATTTGGTGTACGCGATGGTGGAGGACTTTTTAAGTTGTGC